GGATTTTCAAATAGTCATAACGTCCTATATATATATATATATACACACACACACACACACACACACACACACAAGCTAAACGTCTTTATACAAGCACTGCATATGACTTATAACATGTTGACCCATTGGTTTGCAATATATTTATAAACGTCACACTTAACCTAGAAGTATAGATATACTAGCCAAACCATGAATACTTTTCTGTTGTTGTTTTTAATCCCATAAATTGATTTATACTTGCGTTCAGTCTACATATTTATACGAAGCTGAAAATATGTTCACAATGATCTGAAGTTATTACTACAAAGTATCTGCTAATTATGTGTTCTGCTACAGAAATCCTCCCAGTATCACTTCCCCTAACGTTCAGATACAGAAATCCTTCCAGTATCACTTCACCTAACGTTCTGCTACATAAATCCTCCTAGTATCACTTCATCTATCGTTCTACCACATAAATCCTCCCAGTATCACTTTATCTAACGTTCTACCACATAAATCCTCCCAGTATCACTTCATCTATCGTTCTACCACATAAATCCTCCCAGTATCACTTTATCTAACGTTCTACTACATAAATCCTCCTAGTATCACTTCATCTATCGTTCTACCACATAAATCCTCCCAGTATCACTTTATCTAACGTTCTACTACATAAATCCTCCTAGTATCACTTCATCTATCGTTCTACCACATAAATCCTCCCAGTATCACTTCAACCTAGCGTACCGCTACAAAAATCCTCCCAGTATCACTTCAACCTAGCGTTCCGCTACAAAAATCCTCCCAGTATCACTTCATCTAATGTTCCGCTGCAGAAATCCTCCCAGTATCACTTCATCTAATGTAGCGCTACAGAAATCCTCCCAGTAGCACTTCATCTAATGCCCGCTACAGAAATCTTTTCAGTATCACTTCATCTAACGTTCCGCTACAGATATCCTCTCAGTATTACTTCATCTAATGTTTCGCTACAGGAATCCTCCCAGTAGCACTTAATCTAATGTTCCGCTACAGGAATACTCCAAGAAGCACTTCATCTAGTGTCCGCTACAGAAATTCTGCCTGTATAACTTCACCTAACGTTCCGCTGCAGAATTCATCCCAATATCACTTCATCTAACGTTCCGCTTCAGAAATCCTCCCAGTATCACTCCATTTAATGTTCGGCTGCAAAAATTCTCCCAGTATCACTTCACCTAATGATCTGCTACAGAAATTCTCCTAGTATCATTTAATCTAATGTTACAACAAAGTTGATGAACTGTTATACGTTATCATTGGAAATCGTACTAAGGCAACTAAAAGTGATAAGTTTAAAATCGTTATGAGTTTTTCTGTGATATTTTATCAAATTTGTTTTCATGAAAGAAATCATGGTACGTCAACTTCGAGTTATGCATAAAAACTATATCACTTATACCAGAGTGAAGCCCCCCAGTGGCACAGCGATATGTCTGCGGACTTACAACGCTAGAAACCGGGTTTCGATACCGTGGTGGGCAGAGCACAGATAGCCCATTGTGTAGCTTTATGCATAAATTCAAACAAACAAAACCAATGTAAAACTTTCAGTCTATAACTTTTCACAATTTTTTATGTACATCAAACAACTCTCAAATGTACTAGCAAATACATTTTTAACATATAACTTAAACTATTTTTTGATCTGTTCATCTTATCATGGAAACATCCCATGAAGTAGTCTTTAAACTAATTTTTACTTTAAGAATGAATATCATGCCCAAGCTGTCATTCGATTCACCAATTGTCAGTGTGTTAATCACATTTCGAGAAATTCTACCTTCCTTAGTAATTCTAGATAATGACAAATCGGAAAAAACAAGACTGGCTTCTCGTAATGATGAACGGTATATTATATGAACAGTGTTTTAGTGATGGACTGTATTATTATATGAACAGCGTTTTAGTTGTCTTTTACTCACCATAGTGATTATATATATATATATATATATATAGGATTTGAATAATATGAATTGACCAGTAATAGGGCTTCATATCAATTTTTAGTGTATGAAACAACTTGTCTGCTGAATACTTCAGAAAAATATATTAGTAGAATAAATACTACATATTTTTTAAATTCTATACAAAAACAGATTCATTGTGTTGAGTAAAAGACAACTGAAAAAACGATGCATATAAACTTTACATTTTGTACATTACTAAAAGAATGTAACCTTTAAATATATCTTTGACTTTATTACGGGAAAGTAACCTTTGAATTGATATCATTTGACAAAACATAGCTATAACTTGAATTCTAATTGAATCCCTCTTAAGACTAATGAGAATATATCTGTAAAGGAATGTAACCTTTAAATTTAATAAATTCGACAACACATAGTTATAAATTGAATTATAACCCAATTCCTCTTAAGACAAATAAATACAAATTTCAAATTATAACCAAATACAACTCTTTAGTTCCGCAAGTCACCAATTCGTCAAAATTTTTAGGTTTTTAATATTTGTTCTGGCTCAGCAGAGTTATGAAATTTAAAAAAAATAAGTTAGTTACAACATTTCCAGAATATTACCGCTATACTGGAAGAACGTTTATGTAACTGAATAGAGAAAAAGAGAAATTTAAAGTCCTGTAACTTACAGCTTCTCATTGTGAAGGGGCATCTTTGTATATCCATAGGGTACTGCTTAAACTCCATTTGACATGCGACAACAGCAGCCAACCTTAGAAGAAAGCTGATGATGTGAATTGAAAATTCTACTTGATGAAATAATGATAATAAGTTACAAGATTCTCCCTGTTCGAAAGTAAACCTTCCAGTTTTAAACTGGATTTACTATGAAAATAAAGTACAACCTTGCTCTTATACATTCCGTATTACAATTAACATATAGTCTTCATTTAACCTTTATTTTTTGGAAGGTAATCTTTTGAATAACATGTTATCTTCTGACCTTACTGTGAAACTTTAAGCTTGAACATCATATTTTTTATTTTTCTGATCGTACCAAAGAAAGTAACCTTCAAAATAATCTTTCTTTTTTAAGCCTTCCATGGAACTGTAAACCTAAAAATGGGCTATTATTTTCTGACTTTAATACGTGGAATTTCAAAATATACTCATGAAATATATAAAAATACGCTGTCTTTTAATGGGATCGATGGTCTGAGCCTTTCTCAAAGGGCATTAGTACTCAAATACTACACATAAACATATTTAAGTTCTTGCATTATATAATATCAAGAGGTTCTATTACGAGGCATTAAAATGTATTCTGTTTCGATGTTTCCGAAGCCAGGCATTAATAATCAGGGCATAGGATTATGATTTCATCTTAAATTAATGTAATTGTAAGAAGATGATATTATTTTATAATCAATTTGTTAAATTTCTTAGCTCAAGTTTGTTATTTATCATATATTAAATCTTATGCAGTAGAAGGTTTTAAGACGAATGCATTTGGAGGAGGGGGGGATTGCCATTCTCTATATTATATTTTATAAAGAGCAACTTCTACCTGACAGTGTATTCCATCTTGCAGGTTTTAGGGTCTTTAATGGATATTCTTAGTACTTTTGTAGACGAAGCATCAGACGGAGTATCCACACTTTTAGCGTTTATGGCGTAAGTGTCAGGGATCCAAAACCGATCAAATTGACTTTCAGAGACAGCAATAGGATATCCAGTACGGTTGTTAAAAAGTCCAACTTGATGCAAGTGAATCTTATATTGTTCACAAAGTTTTCCTGTGACATTCCAGCTGTGCCACAGAAAAAAATCCAAACGAAAATCCTAAAACAGAAAGAAAAAAGAACTCACTCAGTAAAGTTTTTCTCTTCCTTCTAATTTCAGTTCTTATTTTAGTAATGGAGAAGAAACATAAAAAAAGCAATAAGAAGGGAAATCAAGATTATGCTACATTTATGTGTACTTTTACATGTCAATTAAATCAGTTGACTTAAAAGATCCGCCAAGATTTTTGCAAATCCAACTGATATATTTTACGAGTATGATTAACACAAGTTACTATTTTTTCAAAAGAATAACATTATCTACTCATTTTGCTGTTCAAATACTATGGTAACAATTAAAATAGAAAAAGGTTTTCACAAAACACAAGCACATAGAAATAAGTACGAAGCACAATATTCATCATCTTATTCTTAGCATTCGTCCCATTATTTGGAGTCTGCTTTTCTGGTCCTTGCCTTCCACACTAATCTGTTTCAGCTACATTCATACCACATTTTCTCATGTCCTCTCTTACAACATCCATCCATCTTTTCTTTGATGTTCCTCTTGTTCTTTTCCCTTTCACTCTCACATCAACATATTCCTCTTTCCACATGATTGAGCCATCTAAGGCGAGTTTCTCCCATTCTCTACTATCATATGCTCCTCTTTCTTTCTTAAACTCTAGAAGCATTCACCCCCCATACAACATAACTGGTCTTATCACTGCCTTGTAAATATTTGCTTTTATCTTTATTGGTACCCATCTGTAACACACCACTCCATTGACTTCTTTTTAATTCATCCATGCTTTGTTTATTCTTTCCTTGACCTCTTTACTCACTGGTGGAGCTTAAGAAAAGGGAATGAACTAGAGTTATATGTGAGGCTGATCCAGCATATGTTTGAAGGAGCGGAAACATTTGCAAAAAGGCTGGTAGGAGACCCAGAGAGATTTCCAGTGAATGTGAGAGTCCATCAAGGATCAACATCGAGCTCTTTCCTTTGTATAACGGTGCTGGACACGATAACTCGGGGCATACAAAGACAATCGACATAGTGTTTTCTGTAATGAGATAAGGTTGTACTTTGTAGAGAGAGCAAAAGTAAAATACAGGTGGAACTGGAGAGCTGGGGAGAATGTTTAGAGAGATATGGTTTGAAAGTAAGTTGGAAAAAGACAGAGTACATGATAGCAAAATTCAGTGGTGGGGAAGTAAGAGACGATGACAAGGTGATTCTCGATGGTGAAGTGTTAAAGAAAGTGGAGGCATTAATTGAAATATCTTAGATCAACTGTGCAGGCAGACGGGGGATATCAACTCTATTGGTACTCTGTCATAAGCTTTTTCATGGTTGATCAATACTATGTAAAAGTCTTTTCTCTTGCTAAGTAATGATCTTAATTTTTAAGTCCAAAGGTATTACTTGGATAAAACGTGGAAGTATTCTTTCTAAGAAAAAATGAATAATTGAATCTTTCCTACCCGCTATACAGTGCTTCAAGGATACCTAAATTCTTGATAATTAATAATGGAAGAAGGAATGGGAAACAGTCGTCATTACTGGCCGTTCATTTTAGAAAATATTATTGTTACTGGTTGGTTAGTTGTTTTGTGTTTTATGGCGCAAAGCAACTAGGCTATCTGCGCCAAACAACCGGTAAAACAGTAAAAGTAAATTGTAGTAAAATGTAAAAATAAAGTGAGTTAAAACCAGAATATGTCCAAAGAACAGAAAAAAGAATTACATAAAATTAAAAAGACCAATTGTTCTTAAAAAAATTAAAATATAATCAAGTTGGACAGAGTCACCATCGCCAATGACACTGTCCAACGTCAGGGGTAAACCCTTACAAAACAGGTGTCTAAAATGGTGCCGCCACTCACGGTCGTAACGACGGCACGACAGTAAAATGTGGACTATTGTGTCTTGAGTGTCACACATTGGTGGGTCAATACAGATACAAGAAAACGATGAGTTAAAAAACTGTGACCAATGCGTAGTCTTGCCAGGACAAGTTCCTCCTTCTGATCCTTACCGAAGAAAAACAGCTAAAGAGAAACAGAAGCTTTGATCTGGAAAAGCTTGTTATGACGTTGCTCACCCCATTCGACAGCCAACTGGCGTGAAGCCACGCCTTGAATACAAGGCCGTAGTCCATGTATGGGACAAAGCAAAGAACATCGATCCACTCCCCAAGAGGTGGAAGAGAGGACATGGAAGATGTTCAGATCCCTTGTACACTTGACACGTGCTTGATGTGTGGAATGAAGGTAAGCTTATGGTCAGAGATAAGCCCCAAGAACTTTGCCTCAGAGACCACACGAACAACAACATTGCCGAGACGGAGCTCGGGATCGGGGTGGAGTCACCGTTGGCGGCAATAATGCATGCAAACGGTTTTGGAAAAATAAAATTTAAAACCGTTTGCAGTGGTCTATGTCAACAAGCAATTGAGGGCAGTCTGAAGCTGTCGCTCAATAAACCTCATGTTCGACGAATGACACGAGATGTGGAAGTCGTCGACATAGAGCCCATTTGCAACAGTTGGAAGAAGGCGAGTAGTGATAGCATTAATTTTAACACTAAAAAGTGTGACACTCAATACACAGCCCTGAGGGACTCCAAGTGCCCCAGACACCAATCAACCACCAGGATCCTCTCCTCCCTTCACGGGTCGCCACGCACAGCAAATACGTGGGTGGACGTTTAGATCCCAGAGGATGTAACCTTCCCTGGTAGGTCTTCTTACCAAGTACAGGAATCCACCCCGGAGGGGGGGGGTATTGTTACTGGCTTTGTGCGTTTATTAGCATGATCATTCTTACTTGAGTTTTGTTTTAGTTTGAACTGAGTGTGGTTTTCTATTGATCTGCTTTTTAATTTCAGTGGTGTACAATACAATCTATAATTTATCTTTCTAGTTTAATGTCTTATTGCTCATGTGTGCTTGAAATTCAGGTTTCAGAATTTTCGCACTAAGCTACACACAGGATTATCTGCGCATATCCGTCCATAATTTTTAACTGGGGGTAAGACAGCCAGTCAACAGTACTCACTGCTAACTCTTAAGCTACATTTGTGTGACCGCATAGTGTGGTTCGACGGTAACTTTTATGACGTACTCATAATCCAAAAAGTGTGGAACGCGTTTCTGCGGCAACAGGCCCCGAACCCTTGAATTCACAGAAATATTGGAGTTGCATAAGGCGTGGCAAAAACAAAACAAAAAACATTCACATAAGACAGGTAGTTCAATTGAAAATCAATAACATGGATATCAAAAGATCTTTGTTACGTTTCAAAAATGAAGGGTTTGATTTTCTTTTTTCACATGCATGTATTTAGAAATAAGTTAGTTACAGGCTTACCATATCAAGTGCGTTGATGGAGTTGACATCTTCTACATAAAGCTTTGTTTTGATGTATATTGGTCCTATTCATAAACAAAAAATAAATTAAAAAAGAGAAATATAATTTTGACTAAGTTTTCAGAGGTCTTTATTTTGTGATTGTCCTAGAGGAAAACAAATCAAACTATTTGTTTCAGCTATGTGTTCTTATTTTATTTACCGTTAAGTGTTTAAAATGCCTAAGTTTAAGGGTTAATCTAAAGAAGATGAGGATTCTTTTAATTGATTGATAATTTTGCTACCTCACACCCATCCTCACCATTACCACTGATAAGTAAAGTCGTCTGGACATTACTCAGTTCAAATAAAAAAATGAAACCAGTCAATCTGTGGGACGCTAGATTTTCAGTGAGTTAACGTTTTTGCCTAAGACAAATGCAACTTGGTTATGACAATTCCTCTAATCTGCCCTTGACGGCTTGCATTCAATTCACCTGGTACTTTATGACTTCTATAGTTTACCAATATATTTTTCTCAGCCTTTTCTGTGTATGAATTTTAGTACTTTACAACTATCATTATCATATAACACTCCACTCGTTAATTTAACATAACAATTGTATAGACACTTCTCGCTTTTCCTGTCATCGGGTAGCAACGATGCTTTAATTCCTCCTAAGAAACATGATCTCTTCTTATGTACAAACACAGCGACTTGGATGCCTATACAACCTTTAAAATATTCACTATGTATTTCAAACACTTGGAGTTAAGCCTTATGTACTTTAAACACTTTAAATTAAACTTTATTTGCTTGGAACACCTTAAGTTAAGCCTCTCTCGCTTTAAACACGTTATATCTTTGCACATTTCAATGCTCTAAAACTATCTACTCTTGGACAACTTCAATACCTCAGGGACACAGATACTATCTGCACGTTACTTCCCTATACTTTCTTAAACTTAAGCCTTTCGTCTACTCATTCGCGCGAAGTCGAACCTTCCGGGATTCAACTTTCAGATGTTTAATAGCACTAAAAGCATATCTTTTTCTGCAGCGTAGATTCACGGTTATCTTTGCGGATATAATCACAGAAGTACACATGATACACATCTACACATTTAACGGTTCACTCTAAGCATCTTAACAGGACATATACGCGACACACGAGTTAGACATACGAGAGAAAGGTAGTATTTAATAAGACAAAACAGTTTTTTTAAGCAAATTGATCAGTTACGTAAGTCGTGTTAGTGTTCTTAGATATTAAACACAAAAACAGTTTACATAAAGTTTGAGTAAGTACTTTCTTTCAGAATCATTTCAATAGATGGTAATTTTACTATTTACATAATTTTTATTAAATTTAATACTTTATAAACAACACGCTGTGTTTTTTGTTTTCTGTAATGTAATTCTTGAAAATAGAGACTTAGTTCTCACTCAAACCACTTTTTGGTGATTGCTCTCAAAAATAAGCAAGCAGTATATAGTATGGTAACGCTACTCGAAGACAAGCAACAAGGTCGCTTATATTTTGTGACGCACATACATTCGTCTGCTAGCTAATAGGTCCAAGATAATATAAATTTATATCTGTACAGAAGAATAGAAAATAGAAAGGGGCGGTAAAAATTCCCATCTTACTCTCCGTTACTACTGGCGGCAAGTTGTTCGAAGCTTGATATGTTGTGTGAACACTGGCTTCTGTGCTTGAGTCTTCATTACCGTAAACGGAGCAGTTTGTTTTGATCGATCTATAAAGCAAAGAAATTCAGTTAAATGAAAAAGGCCTAGTTATGTCTTCACTGTTTTCGTATATAATCTAAAACACCTCTATCTTAAACAAAATTATTAATTGCTGTTAATATAAGAGGAAAACACAGCGAATAACAATAATGTAAATCTTATTGTATATATGGTTTCGAATAACGTGTCTAGTCCTTAGTATACTGTACCTATACTTTGTTGTAAACTGTGTAGAAAACTGTAGCCATATGAGACAACGCTATCATTAACAAATGGAGTAAAAGACATTATATATATAATTATACAGTCTCAGTATGTTTCGTGTACAAGTGATCTTATTACACATACGTTTATGAACCGATATATATAATAACTTATCATAAAAAGTTGCAAAAAGTAAATCTTTTTTGGAAATAATAGAGTTGAGAAGCATAGGTTTAACACTCTTTTATTTTTATCTAAGCGTAAAGATGCACAGTGGGCTATCTACACCATGCCTACCGCAAGGATTGAGCCCTGAATTTTAGCGATATAAGATTTCAGAATTGCCCTTAGCCTTGAGGTAGCTTTAATTTTTGATTTGACAGTAATCCAAACTATATTATATGACCAATTAATTTACTCCATGCTGGTTTCTTAACCCTACGACGTTACCTTACGACCACAAAAATGTCATTTGTAATATCTTAAACCCATAATGCTGAGAGCTTAAAATTCGTATGTTCCTGTCTGGTGTTTTGTTTGACAGATAAATATTTTATTGGTTTCTGGAGAATTATTATTGTTACATTGTAGGTTTGTTATTACTTGGTAACAAAGGCATATGTAAGGCGTTCACTGTGGAAACCTTGGTTTATCAAAAACGGAAATATACATGATAGAATTTTTTTTATTGTAATGCGGAAGATAAGTTTCAAATCAAAGAACTTATGATATGTGCTTTTTTTTGACATAATCTTCTAATACAATGTAAATATTTATATAGAAAAGTATTTAATCACTTAACTAGAAAATACCTGGTTATATAATAGTCTAAATCTTATATAATTTTGTTCACTTTCAGTCCTAACGAATCAGTTTCGCTTATATGTTGTTAAAAAATACACCATTACAGATATCGTAAGATATATTCTAGGCATCCATATCTGCTGTTGATTCATTTAATATACATAATAGTGTTAACAATACATAATCATATTCGTTACTTGTGTTTATTAGAACTAATGGTCGTCTTCTGGAAGACATGTGGCTTATAACATTATGCCTAACTACAATATATCTAGTTCAAAGGTGTAATCGTCATAGTAGATCCCTGGTCCCACATGGGTGTTTCGTGAGTACGACCATCAAAGTCCTGATTTCTGGATCGGGAAACTCGTTAGTAAAAGTTGTTAGTGGCTAATGAAATGTCATCCCTCTTCCCTTTTATGTTTGAGGACAGTGCTTTCGGTAAGTTAGTATATTTCAACCTGACACACCTGGTGAGCCAAGTAACCTTTATCTTCATTGAAAATATGGGGAAATGTGAATTTTTATGCCTAAGAAATCTTAAGTTATAATAACTATGTCCAAAAAATAATCTACCATGTTGTTCTATATACAAATTTCAAGCTATGTCAGCTCTTCCAAAAGAAAAAAAAATTGTTACATAATTATGATTCTTGTCAATTTGTACGATCAAATGAATGAAAGATACTTCATCGCAATTGTAGTTTGAGAAACCACGCCACCTGGTAGTCAAATTTTTGTCTAACTTGCTCTCTTCATTTAAAGATACATAAATGTGGCATATGTCTGCAGATAACTAACAAATTCTCATTTATCATTATTATTTCTTGAGAATGCTCAAACAATTCACCCGCATTGTAATGTACTAAATCAAACATTTTGAAAATATTTTCTGTTATATTCTAAAAGTGTGCAATAATTCCAAATATAATGTGAAAACTAAAATATTTTTTTTTGTATACAACAAGTAATACTTTTATTATTTATTTCTCAATGTGCATTGCATTTGGAATATAAAGAGCAAATTGACTATAATCAGACTTTGAATTTTCATAATAAAGATGTATGCTTATTTCTATATATATATAGGTCTATGTTGGTTGGTTTGGTGCTTTATGGCGCCAAGCAGCAAGGCTATCTGCGCCAAACAACCGGTAAAAAACAATGAAAGGAAATTAAAGTAAATTGTAAAAATGCAGCGAGTTAAAACCAATACATGTCGATAAAAGATTTATATAGAATTAAAAATACCTATAGTGTGTAAAAAATTAAAAATACAATCTAATCGAACA